AAGGGCAAGGACCCGGCCATCCTCACGCGCGACACCGCCGAGGGCATTCCGCTGCAGCCGCTCTACACCTCCGCCGACCTGCCGCCGGCGGAGAGCCTCGCGCAGCAGGCGGTGCCGGGCGAGTTCCCGTACACGCGTGGCCCGTACGCCACCATGTACACCCACCGCCCGTGGACGCTCCGCCAGTACGCCGGCTTCTCGACCGCCGCAGAGTCGAATGCCTTCTACAAGGCAGCCGCCGCCGCCGCCCGTGGCTCGCCGCCGCCCCCTCCGCCGCTCTCGCCGCCGCCACGCCGGGCTGGCCGGCGCCTCCTCCTGCCTCGCCGCGACCCGCCCTTTGCCTCCCTCCGGCCAAACGCACTTGCCCACTCTCCACTCACCACGGAGCGCCGCGCTTGGCTCAGGCGAATCTCGCCGCCGGCCAAAAGGGGCTGTCGGTGGCGTTCGACCTGGCGACGCACCGCGGGTACGACTCGGACAACGAGCGGGTCCTCGGCGACGTCGGCATGGCGGGGGTTGCCATCGACTCCGTCCTCGACATGCACGAGCTGTTTGCAGACATCCCGCTCGACCAGGCGCAGGGAGGAGGGGAGGAGGAGGGAGGAGGAGAGGGAGGAGGAGGGAGGAGGGAGGAGGAGGGGAGGGGAGGGAGGGGAGGAGGGGAGGAGGAGAGGGAGGAGGGGAGGAGAGGGAGGAGGAGAGGGAGGAGGGGAGGAGAGGGAGGAGGGGAGGAGAGGAGGAGGGGAGGGCCGGGCCTCTCGCGCGCACGCCTCGAGACGTCGCCACTCCCCCGCCGACAGGTCTCCGTCTCGATGACGATGAACGGCGCCGTCCTCCCGGCGCGCGGCTCTGTGTCGGTCCCCGCCGGGTGGCTGTCTAGCCCCGTGCGAGGCCTCTGTTTGGTGGTGGCCGCTGGTAGGTGCTGGCCATGTTTGTGGTTGCGGCGGAGGAGAGTGGCGTCAAGGCGGAGCAGCTCGCCGGCACGATCCAGAACGACGTGCTCAAGGAGTTCATGGTCCGCAACACGTACATCTACCCGCCCGAGCCATCGATGCGGGTGGTCGCAGACATCATGGCCTTCACGGCGCGCTGCTTGCGAGAGGAGGAGGGGGGGGGGGGGGGGGGCTCCCCCCCCCCCCCAGGGGCAGCAAATGCCCAAGCTCATTAGGCAATTCGGGAATTCGTTCATTAAACAGGGGCAGCACATGCCCAAATTCAACTCGATCTCCGGCTCCGGGTACCACATGGAGGAGGGGGGGGCCCACCCCAAACTCGAGCTCCCCTTCACGGTGGGGGGGGCCCCTTAAAACCCCGCACACTTAAAGGACCCGCACGCAAAAACCCGCACACTTAAAGGACCCGCACGCAAAAAGACCCCCAAAAAAAAAGACCCGGACACACACCCACCCCCCCACCCAGGCACACACATGCACACACCCCCACCCACACACTCAATGCAAGCTGCCACACACACACAACTACTCATACGCACACCCACCCACACGCTCCCGGGAACCCCCTCATCCCCCAGACCCCCACACACACTTGGAACCCCCCCCCCCC